AATTAATTTTTTTTGGCACTTTGGTTTTTCGCGATTATCTCGGAAACTATGAGAGATAGAGCCTTGAAACCTATTCCATTCGATACCTCAGAAAATTTGGGTGTTTGAACCTCTACATTTCGAAATTACTCTCCAATCAAAAGGAAGTTATCAATATTTAGCTTTCCAATGGGGCAATTCAATCGTTCATCATGTCTCAAAATAATTCAACTACCTATTCCGATTGCCAGCACCACCAGGTACCCCAGGTCTCCGGAATTTTCCCCTTCCAGGTAATACTGGAGTTGTTGGGGCCTCCGTAGTTGTCGTTGTTGTAGTTGTTGAGGTGGTAGTGGCCTCAGTGGTGGTTATTGCTTCAATAGTCGTTGGATTTCCATCAGTTGTCGTGGGAAGATTTGTAGTCGAGTCGTCATCCACTAGAGTCGTGTTCTCGTTGGAGTCTTCAGCATCAGTTGCACTGTCCACCAGGTTACTCTGACCCTGCTGGAGGAATGCGTAGAGGTCGAGGGCGACTTTGTCCATGGCTGATGGATATTCAGTTGTAGGAGTGTCTAATGTTGTGGTCTCGAGGATTTTCTCCTCACCGAGTTTGTCTTCTCTGAGGGCTGAGAAGGTGGAGGTTTCCTCATCTTCTGCAGGTGGCGGTCGCGATGGCTGGCCACGATTCAATTCTACTTCAAGCTGAAATTAATAATTGCAGAGTGATTGCACTGAGAGAAAAATCACTTTTGCCGAGGAATTATTTTCTTGAGAGAGGATTTTATTTTTGTAGAATTTACATCATCTTTAATTACGGGATGATTGTGGTACATATGACCTTGAATGAAGTACATTGACAATTATTAACATTTTGCATTATTACAAATTATGTTAGGTAAGAAAATCTCAAATTTGCATAAATTGAAAAATATGTTGTGTAATTATCTCTTAATTCAACATAATGGTAATTTAGGGAGAAATACGCTCACTAAAAAATCAAATATATTTCCCAAAAAATTATTCCTTGGCAAAAGTAATTTTTCTTCTCAGGGTAATTTCCTGGATGAATTCAATTTTAGTAGAAGAGCCTTAATGGCTGATTTCAAAGGGTTCTTCATCTCGGTACATAATTATGTGAGAAGGAATCATTAAAGGACCAAGAAATCAATTACGAAAAGGTTTTTTTTTCCGAATTTCATAGTTCTCAAGAGAGAAGTTCCTTGAGGAACATAATATTTGCAATAGCTGGGGACTGTTATAAACATTATCTGTGAAAAACATGAGGACAATCTTGAGAAAAACGTGTTTTCTAGGGATGTATCTTAAGGATAATCGGGCGAGGAGGATATTAAAAAAATGCATCCAATTTTAGGAAGATTTTTTCACACATTATTGAATCCATTCAGACACCGTTTGCAAAATTTGAGAAACCCCAGAAGCAGGGTAGCAACAAAAATGATTTTTAAACTTGCTGCTTATACATAAAGTTAAATGGGTCATCGATAATTTCAGTATTTTTTCCACATTGCCGACTGGTCGATAATGTAGGGGAAATGCGCGAGTTATCGACGCTCCCTTTAATCTCATGTATAACCCTCGATCACTCGCTCAAAATGAGTGCCGCGCCGCCCGTTCTCGTTTTTTATATTTTAATGTGTTTCTCGATGCTTAAAAATTCCGAAAAAATTAGAGTCCCTAGTCCAATTCTTTCCTTAAGCGTTGGCGTTGTCCGTTTTGTTCTCGGGAAATTTGTTTAGCTAAAAATAGTAAAGAAACGTCGAGCGGAAAAGCGGCTCCGCTCCGCCCGCTGCGAGTGGATCCCTGTCGACCCCTCGAGCGACAGTGTTGCTACATTCACTGCCGCACTTGAAATGCGCGCATAGCGGTAAGCGCCAAGGTGGCAACACCGCGCTCGGTTTACCCCAGCGGCGCTGCGCTAACCGCGCGTTGGATGAAGGCCGACGGCCGAACGCGAGTGATCGACGGATCGGCAGCAACTTTAAAAATCGGAGCGACTGGCTGCGATAAAGTTGGCTGCATTTCTTGAATATCCTATTCCTCCCCCGGTTATCCTTAAAGACTTCACAGGCCTCTCACTCACCGCAGGTTCAGCAGCAGGTCTTTTTCTGTCCTCCTCTTCCCTCTCCGCAACCGGCGCAGGTTCCTGCACCCTGTGCGGTCTGCCTCTCGTCCTTCCGCCATCGCCACTCTCATTAGGAGTGACTCCCAAGAACCTGACAGGTCCCTTCGGCAGAGTCTGCGGGAACTCAGGTCCCTCCTGATGAGTTCTAAAGCTACTAGAATCCACCAGATCCAAATTCGGTCTAGGCCTATTCCCCCTATTTCTACTTGGTTCAGTCGTCCCAGTATTATGATTGGACCTCGATCTTGGAGGAAACCTCGTATTTGTCGGTAGTCTCTCTTCGTTCACCTCCTCATTCTCCAGATTCCTCCCCCTGTTGCCAACCCTGTTAGGCAGAACTTCATTGCTGACAGGTTCGGCAGTTGTCGAACGATCAACGGAACTGTATTTACTTCTACCGGATGATCCACTCCTTCGAGATGATGGTGACGATGATGGGGTCGTTCTTATGCCCTCCTGGTTGCTGCTCGCAGCCCCTGCCTTACCCTCCTCCTCCTCGTCGTAATAATAGTAAACGTACTCGTACTCGTAATCTTTTCCATTTGGTCCCTTCTTGATTTGTATCCGCGAGTTTGATCCTGCTGGCACTAAACTCACATCACCAAGGTCATCGAAGTTGCGGTTGGCGAAGGGGGTCCAGTTGTCCTTGCTGTCCTCCCTGATTATGTTCACTGGGACGAAGTCGAAGGATGCCCTTGAGTATTGTTGACGCTCTGTGGTTAGTATTGGGCGCATTGTGGTGGGATACTCAGCGCTGACTTGAACTCCTGAGAGGTGATCATCATCGCGGGGGTTTGGTCGGTACTTGTGAGCGGTTTTCAGGGGTTCTTCATCCTCTTCGTCGAAGTCTTGGTCGTGTCTTCGAAAGCCAGAGCTGAGTTTGAGGGATTCTTCGGGGATAAAACCGGTAGAGCTGAAGGTTTCTAGTTGGACTCGAGCTTGACGCTTCGAGTTTGTGTTGGTGGAGTCGTTCGGAGAGTTCAGGGGGTTCAGTGGGTCCAGGCTCTGAGAGACAGGCTTGAGGGGCTGGAGTTTGGAGTCCAATTTTTGGATACGCTGGATCACTTCTTGCTTTTGTTGGGCGCGGGTGGGGGCGTCAGAGGGGTCCTCGGCGTCGTCTGACGGGTAGGGGATACCTTCCGGCAGCTTGTGGGAGGTTACGAAGTCTAGAAAATAAATTGGAAAAGGTTTCAGAGAAAGGAGGAAGCAGTGATGCCGCGGAGATTATGAGACGTCATGAGACAATACTTTGGAGGGATTGTGAGCACGGGAATTTTTGGTCTCGTCTCAGTCTCTCGCGGCAACGTTACACTCAGGGAAATATCTACATAATATCACAAAACTAATTTCTTGCGTCAAATTGCCCTCTGTTACCCCTTAAGATTTTTCCGCTCAGCCAGTCAGTGGTAATAAAGCAAGAACGATCTTCTGCGGAACAGCATATCCCTCCTATGGTGACCAAGCTAGGGTTAACAGTTTTTGTTGAAACCCCTCTTTCCTAGGATATGAAAAATACTTCCATATTTGGCTGGTTTTTTACCTGAACTCGGAGCGACTCGAACAGCTTCGGGCGTAGACCTTATGCTAACGTACTCTGGTGTGTGTTTAGCATCTTCAGACAGTGCAAGCGCAACTGTGCAGCATAATCTGCACATATAATGAACATTTTGTGTCATAAATCGTCGGTTGGAGGTGAACTGGGTTGAAAAATATCAAGACGTTATTAATGAACCAGGATGCAGATTGTGAAAGTCCACAGACGTTTATAAACACTGAGGATGCCTTTTAGTCATCGGGAGACTGCAGAATAAACTCAACGCTTTCCCGTGCAATTTTCATGCACCTAATGCAATTCCATGTATTGCCAACTCATGAGTGAAGGTTTCTGTGTAAACATGAATTTCTTACGTGATTTCTTCGACTCCACAAAAAGGGGAAATTATGAAAAGGGAACCGATTATTACGATTCTTTCAAGATCTTCACGAGAAGTTTGAGATTTTTATCGGAAAGTAATTGTGGCTTTTAACTGTTCAGGGTGAACCAACGCGAAAGTAGAAGTGAGAGAGAGAGATAGAAGAATGAAGAAAATTGAGTGACAAACTGGTTTAATTACGGGGAATGAGTCGAGACGAGGTCATAAATTTTTCGGCCAAGGCTAAAATTGTTGAAACAGGAATTCTGGAGTAAAATGGTGGAAACGGACAAGTCTGAATGACATGTGGCGCATTCCGCGGTATTTACAGGAGGGAAAAAAGTTTTCATATTCCAGGGGAATTCCAAGCACGAAAAAATTTAATAGAAAAACCTAGCGAATTCGCTCGACGATTCTATTGGATTTTTATAGAAAATATTCTTGAAATTTCAAGTGAAGAGGCCTTCAATTTTTAACAACGCCAAGTTACATGAAATTTGCTGTACATTTCTTCATTGGCGAATTAGTTAATTTTTCTGAATTCTCAGTCTGTTGAAAATTGAATTGTATGTGATGTTCAATTTCCGCGATCAGTTTTGAAATTCAAGTTTTCATTGGAAAAGCAATGATTGTTCAACATGAAAGATCCAATTTACTTGAATTTTCAAGATGAATGAGAAATTTAGTGAAAACTTTCATTTGAAATTGAATTCTCCCTCACAACATCGAAAATTCAGATGACGTGTAGAATTTCCTCCGCTCAAATTTTCTAGGTCTTTGTCATTTTATTTTTATTTTCATCAATAAAGTCAAACTTAGAAAATTTGAGTCGAGGAAATTCTCTAAAAAATATCTCAATACAATAAGTTGTATAGAAAAACCGAACTCTATTGCCTTTTTCAATAAAATATGTTCTATTGAATATTTCTATTGAATAGAATCGTCCAAAAACTAATAGAAACATCACTAAAAATTGCGTAGCAAATTCGCTAGGTTTTTCTATTAATTTTTTTCGTGGGTGTTAAAGGGTCACGAGGGGAGAGGGATGTCCAAACATGTTTTCCCATGTATAACATGTCAGTTCTTTTCTCCATGACTGTGCATTTTACGGTAGAATTCGAGAGGAGGGAGGAAAAACTCCGGGAAAAATTATGCGACAACTCACGTGATCGGGTGTTCTAGAATGTTCATGTCGAGAATTGATATTCCCTTTCAATTCCGGAAATTTCATTGCACTGGAGCGCATAAACTCTGATTTTAATCGTAGAAGTGATATTTTTCAGTTTTCCCAGGGCGAACGCGATTATTTTTTTGTACTTAAAGCACTGTAACCAATAGGTTTACTCTGCTGTATTTGATAAAACCACATAATAATCATGATACGTTCATAAGTTTCTTTTCTTTATATACTAACATTAATTTTAGTCAAAAAGAAGTCGATGATTTTTAATACTTGAATGGGACCATATGTTTATTTAGTATCACAAGATGGTCATTATTGGAACGGAGGCATTGCATACACTGATAGATCTATCAGTTTCCAACAATAACTAATCGTTTCTAAACGATTAATTCAGGAGCGAAGCGGTAAACCAGGTTAAGTCGATTTTAACTGTTGGCCAGTTTTTGACGATTATCTCGGAATCTAAAAGAGATACAAAAATTGTTGTCATAACCTTTTTTGTAGAGCCAACTGAGGGTTACAAAAAAGGTCATGAGCAAAATTTTGCTATCTCTCTTAGATTCCGAGATATTCCTCAAAAAATGGCTAAAAGGAAAAATCGACTTAACCCGGTTAACCGCTTCGCTACTGAATTACTGTTAATGGATTTGGATTGGAATGGATTTGGTTGGAGACGAGAGTCTATTCGGTCCCACCAAATGCTAATCCGTTAATAGTTAACAAATGTCCATTTGAGAACGCTTGTATGACTTGATTTTCACCTTTCAAGTGAACCATTCGTTGACGATTAGCGAATATTCATTTGGTAATATTCAACTCTACCATTCGTTAATAGTTAACGAATCTCGTTTGGAACAAATGAATCAGTCTATCAGTGTAATAGGGAGTTCAAATGTTCCTCAGGGCAACCACACGCACATTTTGGGGATTCGGAATGAATATTTCGGATGAGAATGTTACCACAGAAAAATGAAACTCGAGAAATTGTTGTGCTACTACGGTAAATGGGGGTAAATGGGGTTGACTTCGACCACCGGTGTTGACAAGTAAATTTATCATTTGACCTACACATGGCATCCATGGAAAACTGTTGAAAGTACTGAGATCTCCTTGAATCATGATATCAAGTGAAATTGAAGTGCTAATGAATATCTAGACCTAGTGACACACATGACGAGAAATCCCTGGAGTCATTGATGCATCGCCACTCCGGAAGTGTCGGAAAAAGACTTTTGAATGGCAAAAGAATGGGAATGGAAAGCGATTTGATACGAAATCCCTATTTTCGCAGTTTTATAAGCCACTTCGGTGTCAGGATACCGGTGTTAACGGCGAGTTAAAAACACAAAATTGAACATTGTGTATTCTCCCCATTTTTCTGTCTCACGGCTTATCTAGTTCCGTTATGTCTGGGGCTGTTTACAAACAATAATAATAAAAATGATTTACGGAAAAAATATATTTTTCAACTTAGAGGAAGAATTTATCACGATATCCATATGGGAGAAAGTGGTTTCGTGCTGGATATAAAGTTATAATGCGTATAGTCATATTTCTAACGGCATTAGCAACGACGCCGCTTATGTAAGACGACGATAATACCGCAAAAACCTTCAACCGAAAACCACAAATTTATTTATTTTATCGTTCGTATTTTCACATTTTCTTTTTGTTAATTTGCATTTTGTTGACATTCGCCGAACACAATACTCATCAATATTTATTCTTCAGTTTTTTAATGAAAACAGTGATTTATTGCTTATCACTTTAACAATCATGTCCCCATAATGGAAACAAAATGTTTAACTTATGTACAGATTATTTCAAAATCATTTGTGTAATTAAACGGTAAAGAGAAATTTGTCAGCCGATATTTTTGTAAATTTAATCTGAAGACAAGATAATTGGGTTAATATCTAGTTTAGCTTCCTCACTGGAATTAAATACCTCTTTATATTTTTTCTGCCTTGTCTTTTTCCAAATTTAAACCGTACAATTCACAAGCATCGTGTAGAGTCTCACGACATTTACAGTTTCCATGGATTTTTTTATCAAATTGTAAATAGTCAATAACTAAATATCTCAAAATTTTACTGGAACAGCCACTCGATAGTAATTTTTAAGAAGCATACCGGAAATTTCTCCCGAACCCAATAATTACAGGAATTTTTACAAAATTATCTCTACAATGTTTCGGTTAATTTTATTTGCTTTCGTTGAAGTTTCGAAAAAATACATCCCATTATTTCCATTTTTGTTTCACGAATGTGGCAATTGCCGGAACAGTGAAATTACATGTGTAGGTACCTGGAGCCCCGGGGCAAGACTTTCAAAAAATTGACGCCCAATTGGTTTTGAATTGCGCAAGCATTTGGGACGATGGCACCTGATATAGCGCCGTTGTGAATCGATTAAAGAAATTGTACATTCCTGTCATTCTGAAGAAATTATTGACTGAGGAGGAAAGGAGGAATCGATCAATCTACGTACAATACACAAACAGTAGCCGGGGGCGAATCGCTACTCTGTGACGTCAATAAAATCGAAAGGAAAAGGTGAAACCACGAGACCGATCATTAGAGTAACTATTATTCATCATCCACAAATTTATTGTTCGTAGATCCAATGAAATTATTCCGTGATTCGTGCAGGGATGGCCATCAATATTAAAGTCTTTCAGTTGAAACGTCAAAATAATGAAAAAAAATTGGAAAATTCATGGGAGAAATTTCTAAGTAAGCTGCATCATTGAGAATTCTTGCACATTTTCTTCAGATCTCAGTTTCAAGAAAAAAAATAATGAAATTTGGATGTTTTTGTAACCCCTCTAGCTATAGCCGCCGAGGTTACCCCACTCTCAATTAGGCAAATTTCCATGGCACCCAAAAAAATAATGAACTATTGAGGAAAAACTAGTGGGTGATAAATCAAATCTTTCTTGAGAACACGTGTAAGTTTCAGATTTTTTTCAGATTTCATAAGAAAGTTATTTGAACGAATGATTCGGAAAATTATGACTTTCGGGGCAATTACGCCCTCACGCGCAGGCGCGTGATTCGAATGTCAGTGAGCATCATGGGAAAGGTATGGGTTGGACCATGGAACTGAGAGAGAGAAAACACTCGACAGGTTTACCAACTCGAGACGCATTTTAATATTATTTCAATAATTAGAATAACATCCGATGAAAATTGAAAAATTTCGTGCTCAGCGATTGAATCAGGGCTCAAGAACGATAAGACTTCCCTTCCGTTTCACCTCTCTGTGATCTACAGGCGAAACACCTTAAATATTCTCATCAAAATATAAAAATAGTATGATATTAATAATTTAAAATTGCGATTGATAATTAATTAAATATTTTATCATATGGGACTGTGAATTTTCCGTTAAGTAAATGATTCTAATTTCTCAAAAGGGATTACTAATTCACCAAATAATCGGCAATCTTTCTACCTAATTTATTGATTAATAAAATGGTTCAGAATTTGAATATTTGAAATATTAATTGAAATATTAATTTAATATTTCGATTAATAAATTAATTAAAAATTTAAGAGTGATGGTAACTAAATGACAGCTTCAAAATTGAACGGTAATTATGGTTTATGTATATGGCTATCCCTGGATTCGTGTTATATAAGGAATATTATGTTGCGCTCATGGGAGTTTCATTATTGCTGTTGTGACCTTGAGAGTATGGGTCTACACGGCAATGTGTCATTGGCTTTTATCAATTTTTTGAGTTCACGCAGTATCCGGTTAAAATGAAATACCACTTTTGTCTTAACATGGTAAGATGTAGTGACTGGAGTTATCTCACTCTATTGATTATGAAATAGTTTGGAGAGCGATCGATTTTAAGACGGAATGTCATGTTCTTACAGAAAATTTGATGAGTTACAAAAGTAGTCTTGTAACATTTACTCTCATAACTGATTGGTTCTTAGATAATTATTTGGAGGAGTGGGGGAAAGCGGACCTTTTGGTGTTTTTGCTAGCGAAATGAGAGCGTTTTTTATTGTACAGTTGCGAGAGGCACGCTCAACTGAACTTCTGAATTTATTTTAATCCATGGAGATCGAAATTGTAGAATCAGGTCCAAGAGATCCGACGCAGAAAAATAGTTCTTAGTTTCCAGAATCAAGTTATTAATCTTGAGAAACTCATGGCTCTAGGCATTGTACTAAGATGAACAAATGGTTAGATAATTTGAGAAGAACAATTCTGCAAAATTAGGTCAAGTGTCAGGAACCTTTGCCTTCTTAGACTAGGAACATTCTGAAGAGATGAAATTTGGAAAGACTGAATATCATTAATCAATCTCAATTAATCTCATTAATGTTTAATTAATTTCGAAATGATAATTGTCCACGTCTCTGGTGATATACTTAAACCTCTAAAAAATAAGTTAGAAATATAAGTTTATTCTCTCTCATCTAATTTAATGAATTCATCACCTGTAGCAGTCAAGTCCCCGTCAATAGGTCCCCCTCGGATGTAAATAGCCGAATTTTATAAATAATCAATAATTAAAAAAACAACAAGTAACTGTTCAATCAGCGAGTAAAGACTCAAAAAAATTCTTCACAAATCCTCCGGAAATCCGTGCCTCCCCCTCCACTTTCCAAGCACAACTGGGATCTCACATAAACTGGAAAGAAATTTGCATTTTGAATAATCTGATCAACTCTTCAATACCCTAATTATTACTCGTGGAAATCACGATAAACTCAATGAAGATCTTTAAAAAAATGAAATTAGCGAAAGTACAAACGACACGAGGTGAAACACGAGAGCTCGATCGCGCAGACTTGCCGCACCGGATTGCAGAGGTGTTGTATATACATTTGAAAAAAGGGGCAAGGAGCGGCATTAGGGAGCGGTGTGTGTGGCGAAGACGAGGCGAAGGAGAAAGGTGGACTCGGTGCAGTTTCCGTCAAGAAAAGTCAACAAAAATAAATCAAAATTTTCATCTAAAAAATTATATTTTTCCACGACTCTTCATTACTAGATTTTTTTACTCACAAAAATAAACTCTTCAGCCACATATCTGCACTTCACTGATGATTTCAAACGCTCTCTCGATTAATCTCCAGTTTTCTCAATTTATCAATTTTTCAGTTATTTTTTTATTTAAAAAATTACATTAAACTGTTGATTTATTGATGCAACTGCACTTCATTTGCTCGTCACTTGCTCATAGTGGCAACTCACTGATAAACACACAAATAAAAAAATGACGATGAGAACCGGTGAGTCGTTGCTCCGGGTGTGAGAGTTACTTTTGCTGGAGTTTTGGAAAAAGTAAAAGTAAGAGGCAGTAGATGAATGTGGTGAGGGTATGAGAACGCCGGCGATGGCAGGCCTCTACTTATACCGCCACCCACCACAGGCCACTTTGGGCCTGGGCAACCCCACCAGTACATGTGGAAAAGTGGACGTTCGAATGGGTGAACGAGAATAACAACTGGGGGATAGAGTTGAGAATGGTAGACAAGGTATTTTGAGGAACAGGAGACAAGTCTGGAATGTTTTTGCAAAGTGGTGCGGGAATATCTTCGAAGGGGATAGATTTTCGCAAATTTAGCAGCACGGAGAGAAATGTTCAGTCAAAATTACGGAACTCACAATTCGCTCACTGATTACGGAATCGACTCAGAAAATTTAAGTGACAGTACACTGTTAACAAATTTTCACTGAAGTTTCGAGGCTTTAGTCTTGAAATAGAAAACAAGTGACGGTTTCATTGAAATTTCAGGGAATTGTACCATTGAAAATTCGTGGTTTTCGTGGAAAATTTATGGAAATTTTAAATTTCAGTTAAATTATTCCATGACAATTAATGGAAATTAGGAAAATTGAAGCAAAAATGTCCTTGAATTTTCAATTTCTTGAAATTTTAGAGCAATTTCTTATTGAATTATCATGGTTACATTGAAAATTCATGGAAATTTCGGAATCTTCATGGTTCTTCCACTGAAAAATCAGGAATTTCCTTCAATTTTCAGGGAAACTTGAAGTTTCATAGACTTTTTTTCGTTAAATTGAATTCAGTGTCATTTTCTGGAAAATTCAGTTAATTTTTTTAACGGTGTATCGTAATTTTTCACAGGATATTCAGATAAAAATTACGAAACGCTCTGGAAAAATTCCATGACAGTTCCGTAAAATTTCCTACAATCACATTTCGCTCCGGAATTACGGAAAAGATACGTAATTTTTATTGAATATTTCTCTCCGTGAGGAGAACTTCTTTGCAGTCAATCGATTTTTTGAGAGGACAAGTTTCGTACTACTTTTTTCTTCCGAATAGAAGATATAGGATTTTCTTCTATCGCCGTATTTTTGGGTGGAAATGCCTAGAAATGTCATGAAAAAAATTACGCATCGATATTTCAGCGTTCATTTTCAAAATGACATGAATTTTCAAATTTTCACTGAATTTTCCTGATTTTTCTGAATTTCCACGGAATAATTTAACTGAAAAATCAATTATTTTCTTAATTTTTAGATCATGTAAACCGAAAATCGATGGATTTTTCAATGTTAATACTTTCTGAAATTTCAGTGGAAATTAAACACGATAAAAATTTCCAGGATTTGGCGCGGAAAATTCAGACCAAAATTTTTAACAGTGTAAAATGGTACGAAACGTGAAGAAATTATGTTTTTAGGGTCATGTCTGCATACATGTACGTGACAACTTGGGTTTTTGGTGAATAATTTTCATAACGATCTTACGAATTATACAATTGAATAAAATTGCGATATAATTTTCACTCTGAATTTTTTTTAAATTTTAGATTAGAAAAATAGCGTTAACGGGATACGCAATAGATAATGATAAGAATGATGCACGTTGTAGAATATTGCGTTAGTTATCAGAGAGTGTCAATCCCTGAGGTATCGCTGGACGAGTTACACTGACCTACAGATCGAGTACGATCACTCATCTCCATTGACCTCCATCCACTCCTCAGGAATTTCCATTTATTACTTATTTTTTAAATGATTTATTGCTAACCGGGGCATCATTGTTATCAAGGGAACAATCGCGTTACCGTGCTGGATATTTTTGGAGTAGAAACGGAACCAGTTTTATTCGGCGACCAGACCAGACCTGTTTCGACGTCTGTCCTTGCAAGGTTTTGTCTCCGGATCTCAAAAAAAGATTGAGAGGAGAGAAATTTATTCACTTTTCCGAGAAGATGAATTTTTAAAGATGATTTACTGCTGAAAACATACATATTCTCTATACCCCGCATAACTCATTCAGAATTTGAATAAATTATCACTAAGTTATAAGTTCTATGTTCCAAGGGTACGCTGAGAGAAAAACGACAAAGTTCTCAAACAAGTCTTACTTGTGCCAAGAAAATAGTTTTTTGAAAATTATCAAAAAAGGATTTTTTTTTGTGTCAAACATGCAGAGAGTGCGTCAGAATGAAAAATTTTTGTCGCTAAAATAGATTTAGTAGTTCAAAAAAAATTGCGTTCTCTGTAGACGCAAGAAATGTCATTATACTCCAGCGATTGAATTGTTCCTTTAGCCATAATGCTTTCACTACTTGACTATTTCATTTTATTGCAACTCAGTACTTGAAAACGTAAAATTCGACTAATTGAAAGGGAAATCAAATTAGAGAGCAGATGACTGAAAAATGAGACCTGAAAGATTAGGTCCAATGATTTTTTGTCAGTGAAAAATCCAATGGACTCGTGCTCCACTTCTTACAAGCACAAAATGAGATATTACAGCAACAATAAACCGCAGCAATGAAGCGGAGAAGCATTAAAAATTCAGTTTAAAACCGAGAGTCCCTTTCTACGGGTCTCCTGAGAGTCGACAGTGGTATGAGTCTCTCAACCGTGTAGTCATATTTGGAGCAGTTTCAGGAATGTCATAACATCGTCAGAATTATGCTTCAGAGGAAGACAGAAATTTTGTAGTGAAATGGAGAAAGAAGCGAGACGCATCCAAATAAATTCACAGATTATTTTGTAAATATTTTTGAGAGAGTACAAGGTTCAGGGAAATTAAATACATTATAAATTTTATGTTATAAATTTTAGGTATAACACTACCTCAAGTTTCGGGTTCGAGTCGAAGTCGAGGAGGGGACTGGGCTTCGCTCATTTTTGTTGACTGACGAGACTGAAATAAAAAAATGATTGATATTCACAGAACGACGTTACTATATCCGCTGCATCGAGCTTTTGTTCTGGAAGGCCGTTGACTGTCGACCAGGTGTCTCTGTCCACGAAAATTACGGTTGTAAGCTGGCACTGGGAATAACAATCTGTGTGCACATGAACTGAGTACTTAAACCGGGAATTATTAACATTTCCAAATGTGAAAGAATACTCCATTCACTGAATCGAATATTTAGACTTGAAGAGCCCAGGCGACGACGGCTGGATTGTACACAATATTCGCTTATAACTAAACGAAATATTATTACTACTAAATGAAATTTTTACGAATCTAATAATTGAAATTCAGTAATTGGTTGGTATTTCATTTTTGCAACAACTGGTTGGTGAATTTCAGCAGCTAGTTGTTGAAATTTACCGAACAATTTTCTCAGTGCAGGTCTTCATAGAATAAAAAACTAGCCCGTAGGGTCGGAAGACAACTTAGGATTCAAAACGTCTTCGAAAAAACCGGTCGAAGGCCAGAAAACGTTTTGAAAGTCTTCCAGAGGAAAATTTGACGCGGAAACTCCTTGAAAAATCTGGAAACTTAAACGGGACATAACTCGAATAATTAAGGCCCGGGTGTACTAAGTGAGAACTTTTCGGGTAAAAATATTCAACTCGGGTCATCATTCAAAGCATAATTCCCTCTTCCTAATGAATAATAATATTAATATATTAATATTAATATATTAATATTAATATTGATAATAACAATTTGAAGAAAAGGAAGTGGCAGAACATTAATTCTTTTGCTAATTGGAAAGTTAATTCGTCGTTTTAGTAATAATCGATGATAATTGACTATTTAAGTCACTCCCATTGTACTGGCGACAAACCCATGCGCTCCTGGAATGTAGCTTTCATAGACCGAGTGCAGCACAGTGACGTTTACCTTGCAGAACCCGGATGCAATTTTGAGAGCAGACGTGTGTGCATGACAATACCTCGGAAGTTGAGATAACAGGGAAATTTATGATATTAAATTCACTAACGTAATACAACCGTAACAAAAATTAATTCCATTTCCCCTTATTTGTCATGAATAAAGCAATTATATAAAACTAAAAAGCGCGAAAGAACAAGAAATAAAACTGCACTTTCCGATTCACTCGTATGTACTTCGTCTATCTTATTATTTGAGGATTTTTACTTAAAATATTATTCATACCTCCATGGGAAAATGGGTGGAAGGTTATTTGATATGTATTTCAAGTATGGATCATGTGAATTTTGCGTATTTAAAATCAATAGCGAAGTAGTGAAACGGTTCAAGTCGATTTCGACTACTGGCCAGTTTTTGGTGAATAATATCTCAGAATCTAAGAGAGATAGCTACATTTTTGTCAAGACCTTTTTTGTAGCACTCACTTCGCTCTATAAAAAAGGTCATTACGAAAATTTCATTATCTCCTTTAGATTCGAGGATATTCTCCAAAAAATCAAGTAAGAGATAAGTCGACTTGAACCGTTTTACCACTTCGATACTGAAAGGTGTTTGTCAATTTTTTCCTGTGTAAATTCGTGGTACAACAAAGTATTGCTTTCCAGGGACACTCATCTCAATCACACACTGTTAAAAAAATGAAATTTCATGGACAGCTAATTATCAATTTTCAGGACAGTGACACTGAGTGCGATTTACGGGAGAAAAAAACATGAAATTTCAAGTTTCACTGAAAATTCAGCAAAATTCCAGAATTTTAAGGCGCATAAAGACGAGAATTTCTCAAATTATTTGAATCTCTAATCTGATATGAATATTCAGTGCAAATTACATTGGATTTCCAATGAAATCTCACATTTCAGAGACGATGCGAATGTTTTTTTTTGCGGCCCTTTTGTTAGTGGT